GGGCGAATGTTAGATTGATATTGGCGTCCAATCTATATTGGTTCAACCTATCTACCATCTCCAACCCAAAGAGTAAAATTTGTACTAGTTTGCTCCGTATGTATGTGGCTATACCCTGTATAAAAAAATGTATGTTGTAACTCAACCAATAAATCGGTTCTGATATGATAGATGCAGACAATAATTAATTGATTCAAAAGCTTGAATTGAAGGCATTAAATTTTGTGGTCTACGAATATGATATATAAGATAGAACCATGCATGTGATCCTGTGTCCTGAATAATCTACTCCCTCCGTTTCTAAATATAAGTTTTTTTAGAGATTCCAATATGAACAGAGGGAGTAACAATTTTTCTTTTGAGTAAAAAAAACAGTTTTTCTTCCATTCTTTGCTAGCTTTAGCATGCATTGTGTAGATAGCTGAGTCCTTTCCCATGGAGACTAGATGTCCATACAACATTGGGATAAACTATCTTTGGAATGCAGCTTGCGGTACGTGGTGGTTTAATAAAAGTAATTGACAGGTAGTTCTACATAAAAGGCGGCCCAAATAGAGAAGATTACAAAAATAATAGCAGACATACGTAGGAACCCTAGCTACCTAAGTCATAATTTTGATAACTATTCCTCACTGCCCCAGAAGTTGAAATAGTACTAGATATCGTAGCCCCTACAGTAACGCATCGATCATGATGCACGTCATGCATAGTCATCCTCCTCCAACCCGGCCATGAGCTGGCTAGCTAGCTAGCTAGCAACCAAGCTAGGCGTCTCCGATGCTCAGCAGCTCCTTGGAGGTGTTCCATTGCTTGTTCCCGGGGCTCCATTTCGGGCACTTGGGGCTGAAGTAGCTGGCCTGCACCCTCGCGTCCAGGAGCTCGACGACCGGCCCGGGGCGCACGCAGCGCGGCGCCTTGTACTGGTTGATGGACGCGCCCTGGCTGAGCGCGTAGTCCATGAGCTTCTCGAAGGTGCCCTCGGACACCACGCGGATCTCGAGGGGGCCGATGGACCTGTCGCAGGCGCGGCACTGCCGGTACACGCTGTTCAGGGCCTCCTCCACGGACAGGCAGCACTCCTCGAACACGGACGCCGGCACCGCCGTGCTGCCCTCGCGCAGCTCCCAGAACAGCACGTAGTGGCCTGGGATGGCGGATGTGTCGGCGTAGCTGGTGTACTCCACCAGCGATGCGCCGAACGGCGCCAGGTGCTGCACCGCGCTGCTCACCGCCGTGTGCAGCTCCGTCTCGTCCGTCTTGTCCGAGTCGATGCTCAGCGCCACGTTCCGCCGTCGCACGAAGCTGAACATCGGCGCCTCGTTCTTGAACCCTGCTACCCTCAGAACGTCGCCCACACGATACCGGCACAAACCTGTGAAGATCACATACACATGGAAAATGTCAGCCTTGCTAAAAAGGCATAAGATCATCGAGGCAACGTTAGGCAGTTAGAGAATGTGTTGAAGCTGCGATGGAGCCTTACCTGAGAAGGTGGTTACCACGAGTTCGTAGTCGTGCCCGAGCTTCACATCGACTAGATCGACGAGGTCGTGGTGGCTCGGCTCGGCATTGGCGTTGCTGCAATGGACGGGGAGGAACTCGAAGTGGCACATGGTGGGGATGAGAGTGTACGCGACTTCGCCGGGCTTGCACATGGGGTTGAGGTTCAGGCCGAAGTAACACTCCGAAGAAGCGTACATGGTGCAGATGAGCGGCAGGCCGCCGCCGTAGAACTCGAGGGTTGGGATGTACTGCGACATGGCGCCGGTCACGATCACGTCGATGTACTTGGTGCGAGGCCACAGGCGTCGGATGATGCCCTCCCACGACGGCTCCGAACACTCGGCCTCGATCTCGCTGGCGAGGGCTGGGTTGGCGCGGAGCAACCTCCCGACGGCGTCACGCACCGAGCGGTCGGTGATCTCCGGGTCGAGCTCGCCGGTGCGGATGTCGTGGCACAGGCGCGGCCAGTGCTTCTCGAGGAAGCGTATGGCGCGGAGGAAGCCCGAAGCGAACACCGCGCCGACGCGCAGCACGTCCGTGCGGTGCACGAGGCCGCAGAGCAGCTGGGCGTACATGCTCTGGTAGGAGTCCACGCACAGAATGGCCTCGTTGGGGCTCGTGTAGGCCGTGTACGGGTCGTGCGGCCGGTCGAGGAACTGCCGGCTCCGGTAGTAGCTAGTTAACACCGGCCGCGCGGCGAGCCCTCCCGGCGTCCGCGACTCGGCCTTGACGAAGAGCAGGTACATCGCCTTGCCTTTGTCCAGCCCGGGCAGCGACTGGCTCATCACCGGCATCAGTAGACTGTACAGCAGAGACCGCCTGTCCAGCTCGTCGGCGATGGTCGGCATGAGCTTCCGCTCCCCTCCGGAAGTGCCGGAGCTGGTACACATAAAACAAACCATTGCACGAGCAAAGTTAGCGCATAGATATCCATGCATGTCCACGAGCATGCACATGAGTACATGTACTTGTCATGCATACCTTGTGAGGAACTCGGAGATGGGCTTGCCGGAGAGGATCGGCGAGGAGTCACCGTTGGCGATGCGGAGTATATCAGGCTGGAGGTCCTCGTAGGTCACGAGCGGGACGCAGCGGCGGAAGGCGTCCACGGCATCGAGGGGGCTGCTGCTGGAGGAGACGCCATACCGGCGCAGGTACTCGGCCGTCGCGTTCTGCGCCAGAATCTCGGCGAGGACGCACTGCTGCACCTTCCCGGCGTTCGCCGTGACGTGCTCGATGAAGTCGAGCGCCTCGCGGTGCGCCCCGGGGGCGTAGCCAGAGGCGGGAGCTGGCTGGGCGCTCGGTGCTTCCGGCATGGCACCGCACTGTGAAGGGGGCCTGTGTGACTCTCTGCTGGAGAGGATTTCTGAGCCCAGGTTCGTCAGGATGCCGTGGTAATATCAGCTCGCTGGTTTGTGTGAGCGACAAGTACGAGTGGGACGGGTTATATAGAGAGCGGATGGGTTGTCAATTGTGTCACCATGTGTCTATGCCATCTGGGCCCACTACTAACATTACACAGATACTGTAAAAAATGTCATTAATGACCATTTGCGTGACATTTTTTGAAAGTTTAGCCTGCTGATGGCCAGCTTACCCATCCGTAAAGCCTCTAGCTAGCTGCTTTTCTTTTGTCTTCTTTTAGCCAGGTCTGACATTTGTTTTTAACCTACCTTGCAGAGACCAAATTTCTAGACCGAGCTGTAGCTGGACCCGGAAAATTAATGCCAGTCCGCTTGCATGTGTTCTTGGTGCACGTATGATGCTAGTTGTGCATAAAATACTGCAAATGTGTATTATCCTAACATGTCCTACAATCTTCTACTATCATGATTTTTAGGCCATTCTCGAGCTCAAATCATAGGCGCAAATGTATAAAATGGCCATATGGCTGATAATTTGAGCTGTTCGCCTAATTATATGCTGCATGCACTCGATGGATCTCTACCACACTGTGCACGTTTCCACCATTTTTATTCATTTGATTAGATTGGCCATTAGTCTGCTTTATTTCCGTGCCTGCATGCCTTAATTAGTTGAGGATAGCTCAAAGTATAATGCTTCCTCCGTTTCTAAATATAAATCTTTTTAAAGATTTTAATATGAACTACATACAGATCTGTCTAGAAAAGACTTATATTTAGAAATGAAGCAAGTATTCCCTCCGATCTGACTAGTACAATTCTACAATTGTCTCGGAGCATATAGATTTGGATAATGTATATCAACATGCATGCGGAATGTGGCATGTGATGTGAGACTGAACTCTCAAATGCTACGTTTGGATTCACAACTTATCTTTCTTAGCGAGGCTTGCCTCATCAGACGGATCTGGCGCGATGCACCGGGCATTGTCGCGATCCCATTGGATGGTTGTGCGAGGCACAACCCTCCTTTACCCACTGCTATTGACGAATGTCGCCAAGGCGGCTCATCTGGCAGCGATGGCTACTAGGCGTGGTCGTGACATGCTCGACAACCATCAACGAGACGGTGCGGCAGTGATCAGAAGCGACGCGATGGCACCTTTTTTTTGGTAATTTCTCCTTTTGCCGGCTAGTTCTGTGTGAACAGAGAAGGCAAAATGGTGACTGTGACCATGGCGGCGGACATCATGGATGCATTTTCCTTCGAGTGAAACCTCAAGATCTTGCCTTATGGCTTGATTAGCCAGCGTCGACTTCCGTGTGTCATTACCTTGTGTTGAAGGTGTTGGTTCGACTGCTTTGGGGGTGATTGGTCTAACATCTGTTTGGACCGGCCAACATCGGCGCACGATCGGCAATTCCTTCTTGAAGGTATTGTTTTGGAGCTTTCCGTCCTTTCTCTCGTAATACATTGTCGTAGATTTGGTGGTACGATATGGGGGTGTTGTCTCGAGGCATGTCATATGAGGATGGTCACATTTTTTTAACTTTGTAAGCCGATTTGTTTGATATTATTGATAATTAATAATATATGCATGTTTGCATCACTCAATATGCAAAGGCGAGGGTACGTACTCCCCTCTTTTCGAAAAAAAACTAGCTAGTCCAAATTAGCTCATTTGGGCGGGCGGGTGCTGATTTTTGGCTCCGGGAAGCATATGCTCCCTAATAAACAGTAAAATCAAAATAAATAATAAATACATTTTAAAAATTCTGATTTTTTTTTTGTAGAGGCGACGTAGTTTTTGCTTTCATAGTCTTATCGGCTAGTGTAGTTTTTTCACTATCCTAGCCTGAGATCCAAACATAAATATCCGTGTAGGCTAGCTCTTGGCTGAATCGCTGGCGACAATCCGCAGCCAATTATGCTCCCACGACGCACGTATCCGATCGTGTGCACACTAGGAAAAAAACACGAGATCGTTGAGCATTTCATTCACCCAAGCAAAGTAGTCCGTGTAAAGCTGGATCTTGCGTTCTTGCTTCCCCCGGCGGTAACAAAAAGTTGCCACGGTTTTTCTATTCGGATTCGGCACCACTTGGCACGGCGTCGGGATCGGCACCCCTCCCTTCGCCCAAGAAATAGCGTATACTACTCTTGACTTGTGAGCCCCGGGAGGAAAGCAGCTGATTGTACACCTCGCTCTCGCCACGGACGCGCGCGCGGGCGGGAGCACGCAAAAGGCGACTCGATCGGCGCTCCCGGCCGACATGGCGCGTGCGCGAGTTGCTTCTCATGGCGTACGTGCCGCTGGAAAGGCCGGCAGCTGCATCGCTTCCCGGCGACGTACGATCGGCCCCCGCCTCCGACGACCTCGAAGCGATTCCCGTAGATCGCGAGCGGCTGAATGCCATGTGGTGTGTGTTAGTCCACTCTCCGCCACCTGTTGTTTACCGATCGGCGAGGCCGACGGAGCGAGCGTGATCATTCGGAGGATCTGCGAAGCTGCCAGGCACCGCACATTCCTGTCCAAAGATATGCCCAGAGACAGCGGGATCAAATGGCCAACCGACCCGCAACACCAACCAAGAACACGGATACTGTTGTTTCGGGCTCCGGCGCGGCCGGCATGCATGTCGCCGGCCAGTCACCACGACGCTGATTTTCTTAGCACAAGACGACAGTGTTTACCTCTGCAGTAATTCCAGATCCTTGCTAATATGAACACATGCATGTGCATGCATATCGATGGTCCGATCGTACGCACCGAAGAGGAGATCAGTTCGAGCTCAGATCTAAGTACATGCGACCAGCTAGCCAGAGATGGATCGATCGATCGGACGACAAACCAATCACTCGTAGGTCAGCGGAACATGCGGCTGTCCAAACCATGGAGCGCTTGAAAACTACGCGTAACCGCATCTGACTGACCGAGTCCCGGCCGCGCCATAAATTGGTTAGATAGATAGATATAGCCCAGGCCGCATTTGAGTGCCGATTCTGGCTAGCTAGCCCGCTCTCTGTCCATCGACCGGCTAGCGTTCTCTGCCGATGAAGCAACCAAGCCAAAAGCTGGCGGTTAGACAGTACTGTACTGTAGTACAGTACCATGTCGCCACGCGTTGCGTTGCGTTTCTGCTTCGATGCAGGCACCTCATGTGCCTCTGTTCAGCACGCCATCGATCGGGGTACAGATAGGCGTTTAATTTGCCATCCGGGGGTCGGGGTGGTTGTCCTGCAGGCCGGACCTTATCTTTTGTGTTGGGTCTGAATGGAGAAAGAGCCAGAGAAGAATGGCAAGGGCAAAACAAACCTCCCAAAGGTGTCCTGTCGAAGCATGAATTATCGTATGTGATTCTCATCCGTCGACGGCTCCCCGTTGCTAGCGGCGTGCATGCACGTAGCTTCTGGGTTTTGCAATGCTGAACGATGTGCAAGCAAGGTTGGGTACCTATAAAAGATCTTCAGTTAGTTTGCTTTATAGATACGAGTACATCCCAAAGTACAATTACCTACAAATGGTCGACGAAGTTGGTGATTGGACATAAACTTTAAAGGCTAATGGAACTGCTATCACCGCGTACTTGCCATGATAACTTAGGCCGATCAATCCAGCTTTATCTTGACGCATACGTGGTGAGTTCAAGTACATCCCTTGTTTACACACGAGGAAGACTGGATAGTAGTACTCCCTCTGCTTTTATTTAGCCCGCATATTAGCTTTGGTCAAAGTCAAGCTTTGTAAACTTTGACAAAGTTTATAAACAAAAATATTATCATATAAAATAACAAATTAATATAATTAGATTCATTATTAAATATACTTTCACGTCATCTTCCTTTTTTATGATAAATGTTTATATTTTATTTATAAACTTCATCATACTTTACGAAGTTTGACTTTATTCAAACCTAATATACAAAGTAAAAAAAACAGAGGGAGCAGCATACAGAAGTGCAGGGACTAGCTAAGTAGGAGTAGCTAGTGTGGTGCGTGCCTGCAATCATGAGATCCAGGGCCACGGGACATTCATGCATATTCACTCGTAGAGTGCATATATCGATGGTAATAGGGTCTAGAAATTACAACGGCGGGAATCATTGCATATTCTTTTTGCGCCCTATAATTGAGAGCAAACACGAGATGGATTTGGACCCATTATTGAAGGCACCAGCTAGCTAGCAAACACTCCCTGGCAGGAGCCACCGCCTTTATTGAGGCCTTTCTCAACCTGCACAACTCTTGGATCATCGGTTCATCGATGTCACCGTTCCACAGCCGCACATCTGACAGAAACCCCAGGAGGCTAAACCAGAACACCCGCGGCGGTCCAAAGAGCATCCCTAAGAGCAACTTTAGCAGATGTGCTAAATTCCCTACCCGCAAAGTTGTTTTACAGTTCACCCTAAATGGATTTTGCGGGCAGTTCATCCCGGCGCAGAACAGATACCACAAATTGTACCGCAAATTTAAAAGCTTCAACTTAAATAGGTTCCCGCTACATAAGATCAGTAGTCTGGAATACGCCGGAGTTCATCACACACAGAGACAAACTAAACATAAAAACCTAGCCCGATGGAGGGCCAGCGGCAGCTCACGGATTCACGTGGAGGAAGTATTCGCACGCCAAGCGGTAGGGGGTGTAGGCATCTTCATAGTGTTCATGGGCCTGATTCATAGGACGGGTTTTTTCTACTACGTTACCCAATAGTGGCATCATGAGCTGTCTATGAGTAGATGCATGTTGCGATTAGAGCACATGAGATGTGTGGGCATTGCACAAAGATTTTTCAAGTAGATGAGATTTATCACTTAATAAAATTTTGTATTAGATGAGTTCTATTGATTAATAAAATTTTGCTCGTAGATAAGATCTATTGTTAGTACATGCAATCTATTCCTTGATGTACTTATTGATTTCCTTGAATTTGCTTCTTCTTTTTTCTG